CGCGGGAAAAACAAACGACGCCATGTGAAAAACGTCAATTTTGAAAGTTGAAGATTTACAGTGTTTTTTTCCATCTGTTTTCTACCTTTTAACATGACTGAATGTCCTGTTACTGAGCGCCCATATAATATAATTAGATCGGGTTAATATGGCAGGAGTTGTTATTTCGTAAAAAATATCTCAGAAATGAATCAAGCAAACCTCTTTCCGGCATTATGTACAACAAGTTTGAAGATTTGATAAATCTTAACATAATGCAACAAAGAATGTCAGATTGATTAGATCACGTGATCAAATAGACTTGACAATAATTTTAAGTTGCATTTATCATGATAACCAAACACAAGAATCATTTGAAAATATTTTCTTCCGTTGCAATATTGTTTTTTACTTTTATAGACTTCACGTTTTTGTTATCATTTGTATCGATTGATATAACGATACATAGTTATATGGCTATATTACAAAGAAAAGAAGTGACGTTATGTAAAAACCTACGGACATATATTTTTATCAAAATGTTTTTAATAACATTTAGAGAACAAATCATTTTATCAGCCAAAGACACTAATTTTATGACATTGGGTGAAAAACGAAAAAATCTAGCCATACCTGGTACGGGTGTTGTCGTTGGTGGTTCGCAAGGTAAATCAGATTCTGAAAAGGTAAGTCAATTGACATTGATAAAAATAAAGTTATTAGTTTTGGTACAAGCATGATAAATTTTACAAAGCCTTTTTGATGCGCCGTTCTATCGCATTCCATATAGCATTTGTATTTATGTCACTATTTCATCCAGTATAAAGAACGATGAATGATGCAATATAATATAATTAGTAATGCAATATTTTCTTTAAAATTATTTTCATATTTACTTTTTCAAATACATGTATTCCCTTTGTTTGTATTTATTTGAAAAATAAAACCAATGTTATCATCTAGGCTCTGGTAAATTTATTGATAAGACAGCACACCCATAACAAAACAATTATTCATTTACAACTTATTAAGCTTTTATACAATTTAACAATGCATACATTCCTTATCATTTTACATTCATACTGAATTTAATTTTTATCGAACCGACGCATACATTTCGAAATAAGCTTACAGTGAAAATTTATTCTAATTCCCTATTCCCCTATTCGTATCATACTGCCTCTCAGATATGGAGACGGACAGAAACTGACGAACGGGCAACGTCAATCAAATACCCGCCTTTTTATCGGTTTCTTTATTGTGAACCCGATCCAAATATGCTTTTCTATCTAGTTGAGATATACACATCGATGATGTTCAGAAAGAAATGCTATATCAAAAAAATATCTTGCATATATTAAAATGCTAAGGAGTATGCCACATCTCAGTGTATTCCATTTAATATAAACGTGAAATTAAGGGTCTCCATATGAGTAATTAAAGAAGGACTTTGCCATTCATTTTACAATGTCTCAGTTTGGGAATTATAAATATTTATGTACATATACGTATATCCAAACGCAGGTGTTGTCGAATTTAAACGAAAATAACTAACCAAAGCAATATGCCATAGGACATGATGTAAGAGGAACAAAGTAATAGACCAGGAACGTTGTGCAGTTTTTCATCTGTATTGTCTTGCTTTCGTTGCAGCATATATTTCCAAACTTAATACATGCTGTACGGTTGACAATTCCATCTTCAAGAGTTGGGAAAGTACCTTTGGAAGAAAGTTAAATTTCATATTTCTTGTTTAATTTTACATATAATGTTACATTCACACTGACTTCCTTATGTAAGTTTGTTTTGACATATTTTCAGATAATTTTGCATTGTAACACAGAATCTGTAGCTTTTATTACACGTTACAAATATTTTCAATGACAGAAATATGAAATTTCACAAAAAACATACCTTTTACCCATGCCGGATATGTAACCCCGCAGTAACCCAATTTTGGACAATGGTTGAGAGCTGTAGCGTTTTTAACAATGTACCAGTTAGATTTAAAATACATATCACATGTCGATTCTCCGTTTGATTGGCATTTTTCGTTTCTGGCACCAAAGTTTCTTTGTGGAAAGAGGACATGAGAACTACTGTCACATGGATCTTCAATAGAAACACCGACTGAAAAAGAGTTTAGATGAAGCATTTATTTAATAGAACTAAAACATTCCGGTAATTTATCAAATAGTTTATTACAGACCTAATATCGATGGCTCAGTGCAATACTTGTCTAAATAGCATTTTTGCCCAATCTGACTTAAGTTCAGATCTACTTTTTTTATGTAGATCTGAAGACGACTGTATATGTTTCGCCTTCTTTATAATTCGGATTTCCCAAGAAGGGTATTTTTCCCGTGTAATCAAATCTAATGCATATCAAACTAGAAGAAGTATCAAAATACGGTTCTACGTGGAAGTTAAACAAATTGTTTATTTTCGTTTGAGAAAAATGTTTGAAGTAATTTTTAACAAATTACTTGAAAAAATAGAGTCAATTTTTAATGGCCAGTTACCTGTCGGCTACATGTATATGGACAACGCCATATTGGTCTCGAAATCATGAAATTTATCTACCAAGAATTGGTTTTCCCAGGGTTAAAATTAGAAACCACATCGCTTTCAAATTATGAAAGCTTGCCGATGATTGGCTGTGTGAATAGTAACCAGAAATAATTTCGTATATGGTCACGCTCAGATCTTAAATCGGAGCGTTATTTAGAGCTGATTTTAATCAGATTCCAGTTTTGCCTAAATTGCCTTTTTACATATTTTGAAAAATTTAGTCAAATACACATTCTGGAGAAAATGTAGAATAATTTGCCCTTTTTAATCACTTTACTTCAAATTTGAACTAAAGTACTGTCTCGTGTAGTTTTTATTTTATACTGTAGTTTGAGCTTTTCTGTGTTGTAATCATTGAAAATACTGTTTCGTAGAAAATGTGAAAATTCATTAAAACTATAAACCTCCATCAGTTCCTTGTATTAATCAACCAAAAAAAGGTGCAAAAGTTAGTTGTAACCAATATATATAAAAAAATTGCAAATCATGGACATGTACACAAAAACGCCTCATGAAATGTTGGTTAAAGAAAATGAGTAAAAAACTTATTTTTGAATACATATCATCATACTAGTTTTTAATACTGTTGTATAAGGTTTTAACAAAAATGCATTTGAATTTTTTTTTTTTTTTTATTATCTAATTTTATTATGAAATACTATCACTTTCAAAACGTGACACACATCCCTAGCTATTTTAAACATTATGTTGTAATGTCATGAATGTGCTTGCTCTGATATTTCGTTCATACGCCTATGTTTAGGTTTCGGATATTTATGGAATGAATCAAATTTCGATACAGACTTTCCGAAGATTACAAAACAAGTATTTACAAAAGTGGTGTGATACTATTTCAATTCAGCCAAACCTTTGCGGTGTTGTCCTTTATATAAGGAACTACGCCTAAAATGTTTTATTGATTATTCATTTCTAATTTTGAATAGATCTTCTTCTTATGCCGTCTAGTAAAACACAAAAACTATAATTAGAAATTTCGATAGATTTACGTGATTTACAGCACATACTATGTAATTAAAAACAAAATTTCTTGCAAATAAAGCTGATCCTTAAAAGTTTGTGAATAGATAGTGCCATTTTCAATAAATAAAATTCAAATATGTCCACCAGTTCATATCTTATTGTTGTATGCAATATTGATATACATGTAATTATATCTTATTTTTGTGTATTGTATACATATCTATATAGTCTTGGTCATCTTATTCAATAATAATTGTAAATGGTCAAAAGCATGCCAAATAAACTTGTAAACTTGTTATTAATTACACAAGATTATTGCCTAACAACACAAAAGCGTATTACATCAAAACTAGGTCTTCTACTATTTTGAATAATATTGAGTGATCCCTCGGAACCATAAATTCCTCACGCTCCCTAGACCATTTCCTGATAAAGCCAATGTTTAAATATATGTCTGTTTCCTATAATCTACGTAAGATATATTTCTTTTTTCTTGTTTTTTTCTTTTCTTTTTATACTCCTTAGTTACCTTTTTTGGCAACTTACAAAATTAAATAAAACTGAAATATGTTTAGAAAAATTGTATCGGTTTAAAAAAATCTTGAGGTCTTTTAAACAAATGAATGCGTACAGATACAACAAAAAAACGGAGAAATTCATTAATTTATTGACGATTCTTGTAAGGTATATAAAATTATTTACAAAGTTACAAAAAAAACGCAAACAAATCCATACACAAAAAAACAAAAAACAGAAAACAAATAGATGTAGATTTAAAAGTATCATTATATAAGTTTTATATCGATATCTTATATGAATAAATATAAAGATATTAATTTGCTTTGAAATTTCACTTTTTGATCATATCAAAAGATAGGACTGCATTGTCAGTCAACCATGTTCATGCTATATGAATCAAAATATTTGCATTTGATATTACATGTAGTTACTTGCATTATTCATTATTGAGATATTAATGAAATATGAAAATTCTAGTCTCTGTACATTTCTTCTCTTGACATAGTTTTATTTCGATCTATAAGGTTTATTTAAAACGAAGTGATTTAGGTCCATTTCCAAAAAAAAAAAAGAGTTTTAGTCTACATCAAGTAAAATTTGTACTGAGCTCAGAATTTCAGTGCAATAAAGGTCTAAGTCTAAAATGTACTTGAAATATTGACAACTGCCATTTTTAAATAATTCATGTAAACAAAGAAAACAAAAGTTTCTGATAAGATAGTTTATGAATAAAATAAGTTATCTTCTATCGTGTCTAACTTCAGTTTTTTTTCAGATGGTCACATGGTGAAAAGTGGAAAGATCTGTACAATGGGCACATTTTCAATAAGTATTTCAAATTTTGAAATATAACAAAAGAAATATATCCATAATATATTCTTAAAATATGTTGTTTAAAAATGTTGATGATAAAGTTCTAAGTGATTTAGTAGGAACATTCATAAAATGAATAACAGTTTGTTTTATTACCCCTCACTTTTTTCGTAATGTTAATTTCCCATAGGTCTCTGGGAGTTATTCTTACTGTTAATGCAAGTGTACCACAAGACTAAGAACTTTGTACTGTTACAAAGGTAACAGTATTTTTTAACAGTATAAAATCTGGTCACGTGGTCTATTTTCTAAATAAAATGAAATGAAATGGCCGCCACTTTTTCCCCGATTCATTCTTATTTTCGACGTTAAACCCCGATAGGACATCAACATCTTCTCTGGAGTAACTATGGCATCATGTTTGCACCCTCACGCCCGGCAAACTGTCGCTCCACTATAAAATTGTGGTGTACGGTAAAACGAGCGAACGGCATTTCCGAGATAGAGCGGACGGCCGATTTAAACGGATAATTGTAAGTGTTGTTTATCTTTTTGTCTAGTTATTCATTTAAGTTGTATTTTTTCGAAAAACGGAAAATGTAGTTCCGTGTAGGATTGATTTAGGCTTCCAATGATCTGTCACAAAAAGAAAATTATATCAAGCCTGGGAGAACTTTTCCCCCTGACGAAGTGAACGACGATTTGTTAAATATCAAACTTCCAACCATAAAAACGCTCTACATTTAGGATTTTTTGAAAAAGTGTTTTACAAAAATATCAACCCGTAACAAGAGCTAGTCATTCGTGTAAATAAACTACTCTTGATGGCTTTCTTTAATTTGTATATCGATTTTTTTTTTCGAAAGTAGTGGAGCCAAAGGGCAAGAGATGGAGCGAAAGGTCGGTTGTTGGGCGCAAGGCGACATTAAGTATAGGTTAAAGGTTATATACAGAGTTTTAAGAAATTAATTTTCGAGCGAACAAAGTGAAGCGAGAAAATTAGTTTCTGAAAACTCTGTATATAACCTATAACCGACTTACAGTTAGCCCCGCCTATTCAAACCGAGTGCACGATGTAAATAGGCGAGGTCCATTAAATCGGCTCATTTAACGTATTTAATACATACAGTTGAGTTACAGCAATGTATGGAAAATACTTCGGCAAAAAATACTTGAAACAAAATAGAGCGATTTCATTGGTAGACAAACTTTGGCGAACTGTAAGTTTGTGTAAAGAGCATAGTAATGATAGTCTACGAATTTATATAAATAAAAAATCTTTCAAAGTTAAAATAGACGTACTAAAATGTGAAGCCGGAGAAATATGATAAGATATTTATTTATTTCTACTGTTACTAGGTCTTTCAATTATTAATAATTTTAGTCCGTACACCGACTAAGCACTGCCTTTTTTATTACGTTTGTTTTGTTTATAGATACTCAATAAACGAACAAAATTTTACAGATATTTCTTTTAACTTATTTGTTTTCTTTAATTAACCAAGATTTGTACTGACAATATGCAGTGTTTGATTATAAAAGTGAACATTTCCATTTATACTTTGAGAGGAAAATGGTAAACTAAACAACAATGCTAAATAAGAAAGAAAGTATCTTGAAACAGAACTGAAACATTTATATAATCCCCCCTTCCCCGGGTCTCGTATCCCCCTCCCCTATGCCCCTTTACTTTGTGAGCCTGTTAAGCAGTCATTTATCTTTTTTCTTTGTTTTCCTTGTCGGTTTTTATGATTTCTTTTTATGTTCAATTTTATAATTAGTGATTGACCTGTCCGTGCTCCGCATTGCGCCCTGTCCTGTTTTTGTTTGAGGGCCTCCTGGGCTCCTTGCCACCGTTTCTTGTTGCTGGGTCGCGTGGGGTGGCGTTCATTGAACGCGACCTTTCCTTGTTTATCTTGTTTATCATATTTCACATCCTTAGAACGACTGACACTTTGTCAACCATTTTCATAGAGATTCCCCACCTTACGAAAGTTTTTCTATTTCATGAAAAGGTGGCTGATTTGTGTTTGATCTGAACTTGTACGTTAGAGCTATTTATTACAGAAAGTCAAAGTAAAATTAGATTAAACATATTTATTACCGAAAGTATATATAATGTACATACAAATATATTACAAACAAAACATTTTTACACAATGGAAAAGGATGAGAATGAAAGACAAGTCTTATAGAATTCTTCTCCTTTGGCGAACTATATGGTTTGTCTTAAATAAGTTTATAGT